CAGCGTGCTTCGGTCAGTATGCCGACAACCTGCGAGCAGACGTGCGTGACCGTCACCGTTGCAGCGGATGCCAAGCTGATGTACGCAACCGTGCATAGACTTCTGCAGCACTCGCAGTGACACACGTTTCCGTTTGCATATGGGGTGCACTTGCACAGCGGCATGTGGAAGAACATGTTTTTTCAATGGTTTTCCTTTCTTTTTTTGTGCCCGCCCGCCTTTGAGGGGTGAAACAACAAAGATGTCCACCGCACTCTGGCGCGCCAGCGCTGTTTGTGCGGAGGCCAACGTCCCCACAAGGTGGTCATCGACTGCGCGGGGTCAACGTCAAGGGCAGACTCCGGGGGGCCTTCCCTGACAATGCTAGCCCGTGCCGGTAGGGTGAACCCGAGGTCAAGGAGCCGTTGGCGAGCAGAGCAAAAGGCGCGGGCCGACGCAGAGTCCGAAGGACTCAAGCTGAGGCAGGGGAGTGAAGACGTCTGGCGCCTGCACGACCAGTGAAGGCGGGCCATCGTGGGCGGCGCCGAGAACGCAGCGGGGCAGTTCCCGCGTTCCATCTGGCTGCGAATTCTGGCATGCCAATTACATGGCCGCCATGACCCATCTCATGCATATGCAAAGTTTGGATGCAGTGGTTGGTGGCGGGCGTGGATTCATGCGGGGGCCAATCGGTGTCCCGCGTGGCGCCTGCGGCTTGGGAGTGCGGCTGTTGCCACAGGCCGCCACTCTCCTGCTGCGTCTGCGGCAATGCGGAGGCCGTCTCCTCGGGCTTAATGCTGTTTGTCATGCTTCTTACGCAAAAAAATCCTGCGAAGCACATCTGGCGTCGGGCCCGGGCTTGGGTCGAGGCAGGTTGTTTTTCTCCTACTGCCCGGAGGCGGCCCGGAGATGGCTGCTCCCACTTCATGTGGTCTTCGCCCGTGATGTTGCACCACTGCGTCCAAAAAGTTCGCTCACAAAGCTCGCTGGGCTCCACCCATGGCGAAGTTGGGAGGCCATGCGGTTTTGGCGTGCCAGCATCGCAAGGGCCACTTCAGGTTCGCGCGCTTCCCGCAGGCTGCGTGGCCTGAGGTTAAAAGCCTTTTTTTCCTCACACGCCTTTTCGCACCTGCAGGGCTCCAGCGCTAGCGCGGCGCGACAAGACCTGAGGACCATGTTCTGCGCAGCTTGGGGGGGACGGCAATCCCTGCAAAAAAAGGATCTTGCATGCTAAGACAAAAAGCGCTGCAAAGGCAAGCCAGGATCGCCGGCCCTCCCTCTGTGGGGGCGCGAGCGCGACGACAAAGTCCAGAGCCCTGCTTTCTTTGCGTGTTGTTGTTTTTCTCCTTGTTTTCTTCTGGCCTCTTGTCTGTTTGCTTGAACCCGGCCTCCAACAAAAAGGTGTTGATGCAGAACTGCTGCAAACCTGGGCAAGTTCCGAAATACAGCTTATTGTTACACGGTTTGTTTACAGCTACGGCGCAGCTTATTTCTGCGGATTCCCAGCTACGCTTGGAAGGCCTACGCTGCTTGGAAGGCCTCAGCTTTTTGTTGGGCGAAACAACGTGCAACCAAACGAGCGAAGTCCCCACCACAATGCCTCGGACTCGGCCGCTCGGGCTTCTGAGAGGGCCACCATGCGCCCAAGGACAAGTGCACGCATCCCAAGGCACGTCCGCGCTCGTGCGACAAACTGCAAGACGCGAACAGTCCTTCCGCCAGCAGGGTCCTTACGGCCCTCCCCACGGCCCTCGAACTTGCTGCCCCTTCTGGACGGTCTTGTTCGGTCGTGTCCGTCTCCCACTCCCTGTCACTTAGAACACACGCCGATGCCATCGCCGTTTGGACCCTTTAATGCCGTTCGGCTTGGCGAGTCGCAGCAGCGATGGCTTCACTACCCCAGTGCAAGTTCCTGCGCCACATGGTGGAACAGCTGCGTATCCTTCTTTCTTCCTAAGCAACCGCAACTGCTCATTGGTGCCGCCCGATGGTCCCGGGGCCGCACCTCGTCGCGCGTGCTGCCAAAAGGATTGTGGCCTGTGGGCACCTGGAGCGTTGTCCCGGCGCTCCCACTCGCCTTCCACGAACTGACAAGCGCATTCTGCGGTCAAGCTCCGCTGGCTCGATCCATGTCAAGACAACAGCATCCGGGAAGCCGAAGGGAACAATTTTCCCCGTCACATGGCGTGGCCGCCTTCCGTGCACGCGGCAGCCACTTGGGGCCTGCAAGTACAAGTTCAACGCTCAGCCGCTTGAGGCAGCTCCTGCGACGGAAAGAGGTCATATGACAGCAAAGGGAAACACTGGCAGCTGCGCCCCCCACGCAGGCGTGCACGGCACACTGCAACGCGAAAGCCAAAGAGGAAGATGTGGAGAGGAGTCGCTAAAGCTTAAACCCATAACCGAAATCCACCACATCAACGTGGGCTGGCTGGAAAGCCAACTTCAGCAGTGGGCTGCAAACAACTGACAGGAAAGTCCGCCTTCAGCGGCCGAGCATGTTGAGCGGATGAAGAACAACATCCTGGAGAATGTCGCCAACACTTGCAAACTCCAATGGAGTAGAAGCGATGTATGGAGGCAACCCAAGAAAGTGCGCCAGCCTGCAACTGACCCAACTGCAGCGGACGTCACGGTGCAAACCAGGATTGCAGTGAGACTGCGCAAACAATTGTGTATCTGGTGACGTCTTCTCACACGCAGGAGCAGAGCTTGAATATTGCAGTGCAAAATGCCAAAGGACTTTGATCAAGGAACCGTCAGTCGCTCAAGCGTCAACCAAAGTGATTTCTGAAAAACGCGCGGTGATTACCAGCGCAAGTGTTTTTCAAAAGCAGCACGGACAAAGTGGCGAAATAATGGGTAAGTGGCCAGTCTTTCTGAGCAGAGTAGCCAGACTTGAATCCTGGAAAGCACAGTTGGAAGCGTGGGCCATTTCAGGTTTGACAAATGTCGACTGTCGCGGAACAAGGCTTTCTGGCCAGAACTGCGGAAAACTAAGACAGAATGTGCGCGAAGAAGGTTGGCTGCAGAGCAGCCAGCATGGTCAAAACTTTGGCTGAACATTGCCAGCTTGGGAGAGAACGCTGGGCCGTCAGTGTGGATGCCGGCCCGGCGCAGGTCACGTGTTGCGGCCGCGGCCTGCTGCCACCCCAAAGCCAAGGCAGCGTGATCGACATTATCAGGTGTGTGATTCCCAAAGAAAGCGGGCTGGGCGGCATCCATGCTATCCGCGCAGGATGCTCGAAAGGCTGGCGAGCGTGCCTCTCGGCACGGTCCTAGACACAAGGCAAATTGGCCTGGAGGATGGCAGATTTCCCTTGTGATATGAACATCCAGCGCAAAAAAGCAGCAGGCGGACCGCGGCACGCGCGCCCCGCCTCCTGTGTTCGCAGTCGGTCAGTAATCCGAGCCAGTTTCAGCGTCTGAACGGCTTGAAACGCATACTTCACAAATTGACCGGTACGTTGCCATCCAGGAGCATTTTGTTCGGTGCACCGCTTCTGAAACTTCCTGTTTGTCCAAGGATTGTTCAGCTAGACCAGGTGGAGTTGGTACTACTGCATCTGCACGTGCTGCTGTGGTAAACGTTTCAATTCCGGGCTACGTTTCAATTGCGGTGCCCTATGCCGCCCTATGCCGCTCAATGCCATATGGCACAGTGCGAGCGCTCGACGAACCGCAAGCGCGCTAGTGGCAAGCTCGCTGGAAGCACGACTGCCAAATGACATGAGATCCATTTCTTCGGGCACTCACCACGTCCTTTTCCCGCGCCAAAACGGGCGAACGGCGTGGCCTATCGCAATCTGACAACAAGGGCAACAACTGTTGGGAACCCACGGTCAATTGGAAACAGCTCTCCACAACGCAGCAAACAACTTATTGAAAAAGAAAAGCTGACGCCGAGCTATATTATACAGATGTACATGCACTTTGGATTCGCTGACGTGGAGCACAAACATCTTCAAAGCAGTCCAAACCAGGCGGCAAACGAGACAAAGCGATACAAAGAGGCGACAGCGCTCGAATTGGCTGATGATGCGTTTTGGAACGTGGGCGAGAAGGTGCATTTTATGCTCTGCAGGAAAGTTGTTCCTTTGTGGGTTGGTCTAGCTTTGGGAGCCTGCGTTTCTTCCGCGAGATTTTCCGGTGCATCTGCGCAGCGTGCAATTTGTGCAAAATGCTGCGACTCCACTTTGCTCTTTGCGTCTTTCTGGAGAAGACAGACTGAGCATCGAGACTTTGATTCCGGTCACCACCAGCACAGACCAATGTGGACCGTCAAATTGCTCTCCGCCAGTGCCCACAGGTCCACCATTCTCCAGCGAGCATTTGTGGTCATGTCACGATGTAGCCGAAAAGCCGGACTGAGTGACATGCTGCATGATGCTGTGTTGACCAAGGGCTACCCATTTATGTTTTTCGAGATCTTGGCACTCGCCACAAGTAACGAATTTCTGAACTCGTGGCCTGCTTGAATGACGTTCGGTTCAAACGCTGTTGTGCGAACTCCTTTCCACCTTCCAGAAGGGAGCTCTCGTGCTTTGCAACGACCGGACAGTCGCTGAGATTGCACTGCGAGCGGCAAACGCGGTACTGACATGGAGCACGGCTCCATATTTTCCCCGCCAGGTTTGTGGCGCGTGGCCATCGCTTTGCATAGTTCTGACTAGCCGTCGTCTCCCAAGTCTTCATATCTAGCACACACAAACTCAAGTGTGTGTGTGTGTGTATGTGTGTATTATTTGTTGCGCAAATGGATCAAAGGATCTGTTCCATAAAGCGAAGCACCACACCATGACAAGCCCCTGCAAATTTGTCCAGTTTGTCTATCAGTGATATTCTCGTGGTCCTGTTCCACGGGCCAAGCTCAGACATTTTCCACATTCACAATCCACTTGCGGGCAGCTAAGCAGCCAGCGCTCCAGCAAGCTAACACCGCACAAGCTTCCAAATGCCAGATACAAGTGTGCAATCAAGCTTAACACAAGTCGAATGCTGGACGACAACACTGCTTCAAGCTGGCACTTGAATTGGCTTGTGTCAGCATCTCACAACTCCTCACAACTCCTCACAACTCCTCACAACTCCACGCCAACCGCGCGTCGGCGTTTCTGCCTCTTCCACGGAGCCGGCTCCTCACATGGCGCCAACAGTCACATGACAATTGGCAGGGCCCGCTCGATGTTACCTAGAAGCATGTTTTATTTTCTATTGATTCAAATGAGTTTGCGTTTCCTTTGCTTCACGTTGCTTCAACTTACCGGCTCTGTTCATGCAATGTTAAAGCTGGCGACCTGCGCGCAGCAATGTCCTGAGCATCTTCGTCATCACCTCCTAGCAGGAGATTGGAGTAGGCGTTCAAGCGGCGCTGTCGCTCTTCCTCCTGCAAAATGGCATGGCAAGGCCTCTGTCAAAACTCGGAACAAGGATGAAACGGCACGTTAGACATCACTTGACAATCAGGATTTGAATTGTCCAAAATTATAGCAAGTACGGTGAGTTTCTCCATGAATGTGTGACGGTTGACCACGGCTGTAAAGGATGCTTCCGGCTCCTCTGCAGAGAGCGGCGCCGAAGCCTTTACTATCCTTGGGGTTGTTGGTGTCAGCATGGGCGCCATAGGCGCCAGTGCCATTGGGGTTGGCGCCACGGGTGTAATCGGCGCTGAGATGGGTGTTGACATTGGAAGTGCGGGCACTGGTGGTGGAGGCGGCACAGGGGGCATCCCGGGCGGGGACATCCCAGACATTGCCAATGGCGGCATGGCTGTCTCCATCTCCAGGAGGTGTTTGATCTCCTGAAGCTTCCTTTCCTGCTCTGGCGTCACGGCAGGACGCTTGGCGATGGCCCTCTTTGGGGCAGCTCTGCGTCTCTTTGGGATGGCCTGCTTAGCCAAAACTTTCGGCTGCAGCACTTCCACCGACAGCGCAGTGTCAGGTTCTGGTACCAAGTACGGATCGACCAGAACTTGCACCGTTGCCTCCTCTTCCTGGTGCTCCTGGTGCTCATCTGTGGTCCTTCGCCTTGGGTCCCGTGAAGGTTCTTCCCGAACAGGCTCCTGTGCTTGCGCCTGTGCCTGCACATTGTCAGACACAATCAGCTTCGGGGCTTCGTCTTCGATAACCTCCAGCTTTACAGCCATTGGCAATTTCTTCTTCGCTTTGACTGCCTTCGGCTTTGTCTCTTCTTTTCGAAGCTCTGCCTCTCTCAGCTCTTTGAGCTCTTTGAGCTCCTGCTCGCGCTGCTCGCGCTGCTCCTTCTCATGCCGCTCTCGCGCTCTTGCCTCCGCCTCTGCCCTTTCTGAATCTCGGGCCTCTCGCTCCTTCGCCTTGGCCTGTCTACGAGCTTCCTTACGCTCATCACGCGCTCTCTGCTGCGGCTCTACTTGCCGCGACTTCTCCTGGCAAGCGCTAGAAGGAATCGTCCTCTGAGAGTCTGTCTGTCCCTCTCTCTCTCTCTCTCTCTGTCTCCCTCTCTCTCTCTCTCTGTCTCTCTCTGTCTCTCTCTCTCTCTCTCTCTCTCTCTCTGTCTCTCTCTGTCTCTCTCTCTCTCTTTTTCACACACACACACAGCGGCTCGCAAATCAATGGAGTTGCGAACTGTGCAACCTGACAAGTGCGTGCTGCATGCTGCTCCTGGTGGAGAGGTGCAGAACCTCAGTCAAAGGCATGTTGCTCTTGCACTGGACAGGAGCGATCAATGAATCAGTCAGCATAGCTCGTTATTGCTACTATGTGTTCTCCCATTTTCAGATGGCTGTGAAGCGCTGTACGCATGTCGGGGTTTTCCCGCTCGACATTGGAAATCGGAATTGAATTTGTGGCTGCAGGAATGACCTGCAAACGGTGCGCCACGAACCACAGCACTATGTACAAGCCTTCCTCAAGCAGACTCACGTCTCTGGATAGATCACCCTGAAGTGCGGTGCCGTGCGAGAAGCAACCCAATGTGCACAGATCAATCGCGTACACACATACTGCACAAACTGAATTAACGCCCAGCATCCCGCAAGTTCTCCTTGCCACGCAAGATCGCTCGTCAACCAACATACATTCTTCCCCTACTCTGTCGCCTCTTTCCACGAAGCCTGGGCCGGCAAGGAGCAGTCGAATGTGAGCAGCGAAGCTTGCAGCAATTGTGCTCACCTGCTGCCAAGATGCTGTGCAGGCATGTGGCCCTGTCAAGGTCTCTGCAATCAACCTTGCCCCTCCTCAACTGGCCAGCACCTGAGCACGGGAATGCGTGGCATTTTGCCTGCTCATCCGTCAACTGGACTGGAACCGTTAAACCAGCGCCAGCGCGTTCAGTGGCAAGTGGATGCGATTTTGAAGCAGCATTCGTTGAAAGCATGTGCGTGCGAGAAAGCGTGTTTCACTCACTTCGGCAGTTCCAATTCTGCTAACCTATCTCACAACTACAAGGAAACCAACTTCGAGGTGTGCGAGAGCAGAACTGTCCTGCGGGTTGTTGGGAAGCTGACCTACGTGGCAGCCGAGAAAGACTGTTTCCGTTTGTTCCAGGAAAGGTCGTGTCTTCGTCCAATCTGAAGAAAATGCTGCTGAGGTGCATGGCTGGCGGCATTCTGTGCTGCCCTTGCAGACTCCCGAGACCTAGTGACACAGGCATTCTTGCTTGGGGCAACATCGCCCAAAGCACCAACTCACATCCGCAAGGCCCAAACCTATTTCAAACATGTGCCCAATGGTCAAATGGGCCGCCTGCAACATGCTCAGTACATTGTCAACTGTTAGCCAAGTCGCATCGAGGTTACACTGGACAAACTTCCCCCCACAGCCGTGGAACATTTTGAGGCAGGCATCTTGGGCTTCGCAGGGATCCTTACTGACCACTTCTCCCTTGCGACTGCGAACTGCTTCTCTGGCAGCAACAGGAGCAACAACAACATCAGATATGCTGTCCGAATCTCTGTGCCATCCTGTTGGCAAGGCAGTACGGTCCCATTGCAAGTTGCATGGCCGACAAGTGGAATGTCCTCAGCTGGCCAGTCACCGAATCAGGCCGTCAAAAACACACCACTGCTGTTGGTATCTTGGTATCAACCGAGGCCAGCGCAAAATCCGAAGGCTGTAGCTTTCGCCAGAATTCGCTATAGAAGTTCACGCCATCATCGGAGTCGTGGCAAGTACCGTAAAGGATGGTGCAGTGCTTCACCACAGCTTGCCATCTAACCTTGAATGCAGCGCAGGATGTCAGGATGTGAGACAAAGCGGAAACGAGTTCAGAAGAAACAAAGAAGGAAGGAAAGAAAGAAAGAAAGAAAGAAAGAAGTAAAATAATACATGAATTTAAAAATGAATGAATGAATGAATGAATGAATGAATGAATAAATGAATGAATGAATGAATGAATGAATGAATGAATGAATGAATGAATGAATGAATGAATGAATGAATGAATGAATGAATGAATGAATGAATGAATGAAATGAAAGACTGAAAGACTGAACGAATGAACGAATGAACGAATGAACGAATGAACGAATGAACGAATGAACGAACGAACGAACGAACGAACGAATGAATGAATGAATGAATGAATAAATGAATGAATGAATAAATGAATGAATGAATGAATAAATGAATGAATAAATGAATTAATGAATGAATGAATGAATGAATGAATGAATGAATGAATGAATGAATGAATGAATGAATGAATGAATGAATGAATGAATGAATAAATGAAAGACTGAAAGACTGAACGAATGAACGAATGAACGAATGAACGAATGAACGAATGAACGAACGAACGAACGAACGAACGAACGAACGAATGAATGAATGAATAAATGAATAAATGAATAAATGAATGAATGAATGAATAAATGAATAAATGAATGAATTGATGAATGAATGAATAAATGAATGAAAGAAAGAAAGAAAGATTGATAGATTGATAGATAGATAGACAAAGACTGAGGGACATGCAGAGGCAAAAGCAAGTGAGAGGCAAAGAATCAAAGATAGAAGGACCGAAAGAAAGACTAACTGAAATAACGAAAAGAAAGAACACAGAAATCAAGAAGAATGATAATATACCAAAAGGAAAACACAATGTAAACGAACACAGAGGCCAAACAAGGAGAAAGGATCAAGAAAAGATCATGATCCAGGCAAAACACCAACACGGAAATAAAGAAACTCAACAAACAAAATAATGTGACAACGAGGAGAAGCAAAAGAGGAGAAACAGGATGGAAAGCAAAGTAAGCAGAAAAGGAAATAACGGAAACTTTATGCAAGCGAAACTAATAAAGAAAAAAGAAACGAGCGGAAAGCAAGACAGCACGGAAATAAGAACGAAAGAAAGGAAGCAAACAAGAAAGAAAGAACACAACAAAGAAAGACAACAAGAAAGAAAGCAAGAAACACAGAAAGAAAGAAATAAAGAAAGAAAGAAAGAAAGAAAGAAAGAAAGAAAGAAAGAAAGCAAGAAATAAGAAAGGGGGGCAGGAAGAAACGAAGAGGAAGGGAAGCAGAAAGGCAGGAGGGCAGCAAGGCAGGAAGGCAGGAAGGCACGAAGGCAGGAAGGCAGGAAGGCAGGAAGGCAGCAAGGCAGGAAGGCAGGAAGGCAGAACGCAGAAGGCAGGAGAAGTAGGAAGGAGAAAAGTGTGAAAGTAAAGCAAGAAAGCAAGAAAGTAAGAAAGTACGAAGGAAGAAGTAAAAGTAAAGAATTGAGACAGCAAGAAAGCAAAAAGCATGAAAGTAAGACAGCAAGATAGTAAGAAAGTAAGAAAATATGAACGGAAGACAGACAGAAAGACAGCCAGCCAGACAAACAGACAGACAGAAAGAAAGAAAGAAAGAAAGAATGAAAGAAAGAAAGAATTAAAGAAAGAGTGAACAGGCTATATATCAAGAGAAGAAAAGGAAAACACTAAGAAAAGAGGAAATCACCAAGCGGGATACAAAGAGGACCAATACAAACGTGTGTTTAAGCATATCTCTCAATATTAATGAATGACAAGATGAGACAAGCAAGCAAGCAAGCAAGCAGGCAGGCAGGCAGGCAGGCAGGCAGGCGCTAGCTTCATTCAACTGGAAACTGCGTTCAGGTTGCTCTTCAAATTGGATCGGAAGGCCGCGGAACCAGGTTCACCTCTTTCAACTTTGCAAGCTGGGAGAAGGGCAACTGTGGCTAACTTGTTGAGTGTTGAGTGCTTGTTGAGTGTCAAGATGTTGCTAAAATTTTGGCCAGCAGCTCCCACACAACTGGCACCCTCCTCAGTACAGCGGTCTATGCAGGCTCGCTTGCTCACAGTGATCTTGTCGTCGTACTTGCCTCAGCCAGACGGAATCGAATGGCACCACGGCGGGGGGGTGTGGCCAGATTGGACGCCTCGACATACCGTCTGTTCCCTTTTCACATGTGTCCAACATCCAACAGCCCCTTTTGGTACGATGGGCTTGACGTTCCTCTTAACTTCTCTAAACCATTGAAACTTGCCGCACAGCTCCCAGCCTTCAGCCTCCTCACAGGCCTTCCTGGACAGGGACCGAACCAAGTTTTCCACTCCCACACGAGGCCGTGCCTGCCATGCGGGATGGCTGTGTTGCAGTAGACCGCGCCAGCTGTTTGGTTTGGGTCAAGGCAATGGTCGTCTCGCAAACCTTCATACTGGACCTCGGAAAGCATGGCGAACTTGCAGCTCCTCAGGCCCATCACTTGTCATTCTATACAACTTCTCGAAGCATCAAGCCGTGCTTCCAGACAAGCGGCACCAGGATAGCGTCCAATGACTTGACCTGACTGCCCTTACCTCTATTTGCCACTAGTGGGGAAGGATCTGCAGCGAGTTATCAATTGTTTTGTCAAATTAATCGAGCGAGACAACCTAAATGAATCCTAGGTCACTCCAATCAGCTGAATGGATGCTAGAGAGTGTGCAGCGACGCTGTCCGGAAATTTGTCCTGCCTGCCGCGAAAGTTCCAATGCCCAGCAGAACCAGCAAAATATCTGGCCTTGCAGGGAGGTCTGCACACTCAAACCCTACTAATCCTCAAGGTATGTGCGATGGGGTAGATAGTTGAGCCTCCCTTGCAGCACGTGTCGAAAGGAAAGCTGTGTCTGTGCGAATCTATTGCAAGGATGACGTGCTGAGCAGGCACAGACCTGACCTGCATTGAACTGCTTCCTCAGCTTGGCTGCTGAGAGGCTGAATTCCGAGGGAAGCCAACTAGGAGGGACAGCGAGGCAAACACGAGCACACGCAAATGTCAGCACAATCGTGGCAGTTAGACAGCACCTCTGAATATAGGTGACCAACGGTGACCAACCACAAAGGATAAAGCAAAGGAAAAGCTTTATTCCCTACCAGCATTGACCTTTTGCAGGCCACCGAGCAAGCTAGATCCAGGCTCCCTGGACGTGCGCGAATGAGTTGAGCATCCAGCCAGCCCGTGCAGCTTCAGCGAGTGCTGAAGAAACTTCTGACTTCTGGTGGGCCATGAGCCTTTGGGACTTTGGGACTTTGGGACTTTGGGACTTTGGGACTTACCTCCAGAGACAAGGATCCCGGATCTCCCTCTAAGCGCTCACTCTGAATCTCTTCACCAAGCCCACAGAGACGGTCGCCTGCTTGGACGAATCACATGCATTATGGGCAAACTACGCATGGAAGGCCACCTTGAGCA